GGCACGTAGGAGGCTCCGGCTCCTCCTCCTCCTCAACCTCATCCATGTATGTGAGCATCTCCACCTTCTTTGTGGCATGGTCCGCCTCCATCTCGTGCCGACAATGGCGTCCGGCCTTCGCAACCGACTCCGAGCGGAGGGAATCGAGGATGGCTTGCTGCTTCGCCTGTAGAGATCCGCGCCCCCGGTGTTTCCCACACTATTCCCCAGCCCCTGCTCCCTCCAAGTTTTGCTTTCGGCCATCCGGTCTTCGCGCCTTGCCCGGATATGCTCAAGGAGCTGTAGCCGGTGCTCCTGCGTTAGATATGGGGTAGCTCCTTACCGGGTGGCGTGGGGTCATGGCGACAACTAGTGGTGGTGCATGGAAAGTAGAAAAGTGGTGGCGGTGGCGGATGGGAGGGGGAACCGGCGGTCAGCATAAATAGCTGGGCTAGGTAGTACGCGGCCCGCCAGTGCATCGGACCCTCGGGGGTTTCGGACTGTTTCTGCATGGGATGGTTTTATGGCAGAATAGCTAGGTGAATTACGGCAGAATTAACACGCGCGAGACGGGTTTTTTTTCATGCAAAAAAAAAAGACCTCGAAACACTAAGGCGTACGTGTTGACGAGCGGAATCAGCGCGCGTTCGCACGCGCGAGGATCACCGTTCAGCGGTACAGGTAATAATCAAATCAAAAAATAATAATAAGCAAAAAAAGAAGAAGCAAATTAAGGCGCGCCGCCGGGCGGAGACAAAAAGAGGCGGACGGAGCACAAGCATGCACGCGTGCTTCCATCCATGCATGCGTAAGGCTGGTCACAATGGGCAAGAACATAGTCTAGTAACTTACACACTTCCCTAGACTATGTTACTACCTCCACAGTGGGTAGGAACATCTATGTAGTGTCATGCAACAATGTATTTATTAGGTTATAGACTCATTGTTTCTTGGAGTGTGTGATGTTCCGGTAACTTAGCTAGTTACCACAAGCACTTCTCTCTTCATTAAATATGTGACACATAAGCAAAATTGTATTGGAGTGTGTGATGTTACTCCTAAGTTCTTCCCCATTATGACCAGCCTAAGCGAGGCTCGATGCATGTCGCTCCTTCCCTCCGATGAGTCTGCTGGTTTCTGCTTGTCGAAGGAGTTGTGATCGTCGAGGACGCCTGCTGGTTTCGGGTTGTCCGAGGGAACACTTCGATCTTGGTCCCCATCGGGAAGGGAAATACCATGACTTGTTCACGGCGTCGAACATCTTATCGCGCATCAAGAGCTGCGTGATCCATAATGATCAGGATTATGCATCTGGTCCAGAATCGCATTGCCGTGGTCGCTGCTCTGGACGGCCAAATCAGGCTCCCCCTCGCCGGAGGAGTTGCCGTCGAGGAACACGTCGACGCTGGTCGTCAGCTCGAACAAAAAACGCGCCCTGTCCACGGCAAGGAAGAGCCGGTCCGCCTGGCCGGCGCACCGCCCCCTCAACGCCTCCCACCGCCGGCCCGCTCTCAACAGGGACGGGGACTCCTCGACAAGGAGCAAGGGGCGGCGCGTGGCGGCGCCTAGGAAGAGGAGCGAACGCAGATCGCGGTCGCGGCCGAAGTAGGAGGTCTCCACCTGCATCACGGCCGCGCCGCCGCCGGCGTCCGTCACGGCGAACCCGTCGCCCCGCGAGGTGCTCGATCTGGTCACCGTTAGCGTCGTCGTGTAGCGCGCGTCCACCAGGGCCGCGGTACTACTCTCCCACGGCCACGGCATGTCGTCGATCTCCCGCTAATGGACTGCCTACCTGCTCGCGATCGCAATTAAATTGTAGGAGTAGGAACGAATTGGTTGCACCCATAATAGATCGACGGAGATAGTAGTTTAGTACAGTACATAACCGGGAATTAAGGGACTGGCTGCTCGTGATTATTTCCTTGTCGCGCAAGACAAATTTCTCCTATAATTAATTAAGGGATTGCTATGTAAGTCGATTTTCTTGAGCCATCCAATTTAAATTCAAGGGCAGATATCTCTAGTAGTTCCTTCAACCTTCGGCCGTTCCCTCACATGCGTCGGGCTCCAGCCGTTCGACTCTCCTCCTATCCTTGCCTCTCCTCCGTCTGCCATGCCACCGTTAGCTGTCATTCCATGTCGTCTCCGCCTCTGACACGGTAGCTATCTAATCTGAGCGCCGCTCGGAGCTAAAAGGCGGCCTCAAATATGCACAACAAGTTTTCTCATTGCCTTTGCCGGAGGAGCCGCGTGGTCTCATACTCTTCTTCTTTGTACAGAATTGATTTTTTTTTAGAAAAAAGCCATACGCCGGAATTTATAAATAAAGCAACAAACATCAGTGGGGGGCGGAGGCAGCTGCTCCAAAGACGTACCTCTTCAGGCGCAAGGGCTGCCCCCTTCTCTCTCTTTTTCTCCACAATAGGTGATCTCTCCTGGAGGGCTGCTCCTCCCTTCTCTTTTACCCCGGCTTCGTCTAGCTCTCGATAGCGAAGCGCTACCGTATCAATGGTGTTGTAAGTGTGCAATTCACAGAGGGATCGTACGGTTGATTCCTGTTCAAGGGAACTGTTTGTGGGATGGATCGAGGGACTTTGAGATGATCTTCACCAACTCTTCTTCCGCTACAACTCGTTTGTTGGTAAGTTCAGATCTAACCTTGTATGCACAATCTTCATAGTGATCCTTGAAAATAGATTCGTAGGGCATTTTTTTTCTACTATGCTTCCCATCGTTTAGTATCTACTCAACGAGTACTTGTGAGCATTATCAAGGGACCACCAATAACTTTGCAAAAATACAAACGAAACTTTTTCTGGAGTGGAATCCTTACCGTGGACTATATCATTCCGTAAATTCTAAATCCTCCACACAAGCAGAATGATCATACTTCTAGTGTTTGCCGAACAGCCATCAAATACTGACAGAAGCCAATCCCAACCAGTATGTTGGAGCGTTCCAACGGGGGGAGCGGCCACACCTCCCACATACACCCCCACAGCTCCGGGGTGTGACAACAAGTAGGGCTGGACCAAAAGCTCGTAGCTCGCGAGCTTAATGAGCGCTTGACAGTTCGGCTCGTTAAGCTCGGAGCTCGCTTCTTAATGAACAGAGTCAATCATTGATTTCAGCTTGTTAAGCTTAACGAGCTTAACAAACGAGCTCACGAGTTTCATGAGTAGCTCGTTAAGCTCATTAGTAACAACATAACACATATTTTCATTTTACGTGACAAACTTTTTGTACCACCTCAGCCCATCATTTCAATCTAATCGACATATGAGGCAACAAACTAGTGCATTTTTTTGTAGTCACCATATTTCATCTTGAAAACCACACCTACACATTCATCATGTATATCATAACACATTATAATCTGTTAACGAGCGCTCACGAGCTTAACGAGCTTCAAACGAGCCGAGCCGAGCAGGGTTTTCTGCTCGTTAATCTTAACGAGCTTAACGAGCCAAGCCTTAACGAGCACGAGCTTAACGAGTACGAGCTTAACGAGTCGAGCTGCTTGTTAATCCACCCCTAACAACAAGTGACAAGCGCATGGAAGCTTGACTCATCCTCAACTCCGAGGATTGGACACATAGCGCGAGCACCAATATGATGCTCCACTTCACCCAACATTGTAGCTAGCCATCAACTGAAGCTTTCTAGACTATTATTTTCTTTTTTTGCGGAATATAAGCATGCCATATGAGCTTCCACAACGAGCGATCACCGTCCGGGCTGCCACTGGAAGCCCCTCCAGCAAACGCTTCGTCGTGATAGGAGGTGGCTAGTCGTGATTTAACTCTCATATACATCAAAAATGAAGTGTGTAATACATGCATATACAACCCAGTGGGCCCTCTCGTCCATAGATCTACAAATATGTACATTGCTTCAAATGCCTTTGTATTTTTTGCTTGAAACTTGAACATAGACTACAACTTTTCCCTCCCATCTACCTTTGTGGCCCATCTACTAGCTTTTCTTGACAGAGTCATAGCGAGAGGCATCAGTTTTTTCACATGTGAAATTGTAAGAACTGTGGTTAGCATTAATAGTCAGCAGTAATTACGATGATGGCTATATATGACAACAACCAAGAGCAACGTTTGGTGTCCACCGCGATGGAAAAAGATCCTCTAACATTCCAAGGGATGTCAGAGGGAGCTACAATCCCTGGCATTGCTTCACCACACACACGTGAATAGTGGTTCGAAGTTTGAACACATGCTTATCAACAGTAATTCAATACAGGAATTACCTACAGTATTTTGATCTACAGTGCATTCTTTACTCTCTGACTTGCCTCCGCTATTTTACACAACCGACCAATGTAGCTTCCCTGCCTTTGCTCCTGCAAGTTAGAGGAGCTGGCTCCGTCGACGATGACAACGGAGGTATCTGGTGCCAATGCAGACAACTAACGAACACCCGCGTGGTCGCCATCCACATTTGCATACACTCTTCGGTGTAGGGGGTTAGCATTATGGAGTAATTCCCTTGTGATAGTTAATTACTCCCTCCGTAAACTATATAATAGCGTTTAGATCACTACTTTAGTGATCTAAACGCTTTTATATTATTTTACAGAGGGAGTACTAGTTTACTACTCCCTTCGTTTTTATTTACTCCGCATATTAGCTTTGATCTTAGTCAAACTTTATAAACTTTGACCAAGCTTATCAAAAACAATCTAAACTTTCACAATAACAAATATATGTGGTATGAAAATATATTGAATGATGATTCTAATGATATTGATTTGGTATTGTGGATGTTAATATTTTTTGTATAAACTTGGTCAAAGTTTACAAAGTTTGACTCGAGACAACATGCACAACCATTTGTGTGTTATTTTGTCTCTAAAATGATGAGAGCGACCATCGTTGATCGGCACGTCAACAACAGTTGTGGCATGTCCTCCTAGCATCAAGTGCCACGATTAACCACATGATCGAGGAACAATGTTTCAATGATTTATTCAATCATCCAGATTTTATGTAGAATAGTTATTTATCCAATTAGCAAGTGAGAGGATCAACCACGTGACCAAGGAACAAAACCGCATCTGTCATCTCCTCAACCACGCCAAATAAGAAGGGCCGATCCGCCACAAAATCCACCAGATACCTTGGTCGTGGTGCCGTAGTACGCCCGATTACGACGACGGTGGCAGCGGCGGCCGCGGTGCCTACCTCGTCCACCTCAATGGTGGCCTTATGGTACACCCCGGTGATGGTGAGCCCCCCATCTCTGCTGCTCACCATACCGGAGAAGTCGCCGCCATGAAAAGCCCTATTGACACCAAGCTTTCGCATGTCCGAAGACGCCTCAAACTCATACGTGAACTTGAACTTGGGGACCATGAACCGCCCGACTGGAACCTTACCCGCTGGCGTGTGCGTCTTGATGAACTCCGGCGTCGACACAGCCTTGTCATACAGATCGGCGAGACTAACAGTGTCCCTGTCCGGTAGTAGGATAAGCATGTAGAATTCAGCTTGCTGCTGCACGTCGTTCTTGTACGGCAGCTTGAGGGCCCTGAAGCCCGGGTAGACCGCGATGCGCTGTGACCGGCTTGTGGTCATGGATGGCACGCGCCCGGTGGTGCCGCCTGGGATGTGGAACGGCATGGTGGAGACGTCGAACGGCTGTGTCCACGCCCCTTTGAAGTAGAGCGCGTTGGCGAGGACGACCGCCGTGGACGAGTCGACGGAGCTGGGAGGGAGGACGTCGCGGATGAGCTTGTTCATCGCGTCCGCCACGAAGGCGTTCACGCGCTGCCTCGCCTGCTCGGCCCCTGGCACAAAGTCCAAGGATTCCGCCATGGCGCCGTACCGCGACGCGGCGGTGACCGTGAACTCTGGCCTGAGCGCCAGCCTCTGGTCCACCCATACGCCGCAGGCGAAGGACGTCTACGCTATGCCATTGAGCCTGCCGACGAGCTCAGTCGCCGCGGTGCGGTGCAGCTCGTCGAGCGACGCCGATCCAAGGAACCCCAGGAACTCGCTACGCGTGTCGCCCCGCGCGCCTGCGGCCACCATCGCGAGCGTCGCATGGATGGAGGACGAAGTTGCGCCCCGTGCCGCCTTTCGCCCGGACGCCGGCCTCCCCGGCGAGAGCCAGGCCACACGACGCGTTCCTGACGGCGTCTCTGCCGACCGCCGACTCTGCGCCCGTAGAGTCGACGCCAGGACCAGAAGGCGCCTCGACGAACAGGGTCGAGATGAGGACTGCGTTACCCGAGGGCGACATCGCCTTGTGCTTGATCGCGCCTTCGCAGTGAGATTCAAGAGAAGGCGGCGGCTGAGTCCCTGCGAGCGAGCTCGCGTGTGGGTTAGGGTTAGATGCACAGTGGACTACTAGGCTGAGCTGTTGGGCTGTGAGTGGGACTGGATTATCAATTTAAAAATGGAAACGTCACTCAAATATTGGTTTTCAGCTTTTCACAGTTTCTCCAAAAAAAATTGGTTTTCACTTTTTTTAGTGGGAATATTTTTTTATGTCAGGACCCCGATCCTAAGGCACATCGATCTAGCATGTAACCCATTATACTTTGCGGCCTCATGCATGGTATTCCCACGGGTACCGCCTTACCTGGCCCGGGACCGTTTGTGCCTTTTGGCTCACGTATATGATAGTGTCGCTAGCATCCATATGACAGAGAATCCGGGCCGACATGACTAGTCGTGAACCCAAAGTGGCACTAACTTACAGGGACAGGCATACATGACCCAGCAACGAACGCGTCGGTCATCAGCGAGTGAATTCAGGTTGTAGCAACTGGGCTAGCAGGTCTCCGGAAATCCGGGCTGTAGCAGGCTAACAAGACTCCGAAAGACACCGCGTGACATTTCCCCGAAGGGACAGACACAGGATCGAAGAAGGACACATGCCGGCCAGTCTAAGTGTTCCGGAGTAGTAGCAACTGGGCTAACAGGACTCCGGTAAACCGGGCTGTAGCAGACTACCATGGCTCAGTGGAAGCACTAGACTACATTTCCCCATAAGAGAGGCTACCAAGGATAGACAACTAGGTTGTCGGATCCCACACATACCAATCATTTCAATCATACACACAATATGCTCGATATGTATAAATACAACATGGCATCATAACAAAACTCTACGACTCAAAATATTTATTCAATAGGCTCCGAGGAGCGAGATATTACAAACATGGGTCTCATGACCCAACATTCAGAGCATACAAGTCAAAAGCACATGCAGAAGTTTAACATGTCTGAGTACAGACATCTATAAATGAAAAGGGCTGAGAAGCCTGACTATCTACAAGATCTTGCCGGGGGCACAAGATCGTAGCTGAGGTAACAAGCTAAACATCGAAGTCCACACGCACTAGTAGAAAAACACCTAATAGTCCCGGTTCCTAAGGGCCTTTAGTCCCGGTTCATGAACCGGGACTAATGGGCCGTTACTAATACCTCCACCCATTAGTCCCGGTTCAAACAAGAACCGGAACTAATGTGCCTCCACGTGGCTCTGTGCGCCGAGCCCAGTGAGGGGGCCTTTGGTCCCGGTTGGTGGCACCAACCGGGACCAAAAGTCCATTTTTTTTTTTGAAAAGTGGCTGCTTTAAAGGTTTTGGGGGTTATTTTAGGTTGTTATATTAGCTAGCTAATAGAGAGAAGTGTCCTCTCTTATATCTTCGTCCTTGGTTTACCAACGCTGCTGCTATATATGTTCATTTTACCCGCTGATATAATAACTCATGCATGCTCGCATACATCAGCATATATAATAACAAGTACTCGTCCTACTAATCATGCATCATCATACAACTTCTACTTGTTATTAATCCCTCATTTATTGCCATATAGGTATATGGGAAAAGTAAAAGAGAAGTGATAATAGGGGAGGGAATCCATGGGACGGACCATTATTTCCTTCCTTGCCTGCCATATGCCATATGATAGGACTATTTTTAACGGCCCGAGAGACAGTTTTGCACATCTCTCTCTCTCTCTCTCTCTCTCTCTCTAAGGTAGTCTCTCTAATACGTCTCTACATGTTCATCTTTTTCTTTCTATCTATCTATCTATCCATCTGGGAGCAAGGTAGGTCCCATATATAACATCCTGAGAAAAAGTTATGCATCCTGTGACGCAAGGTACTATTTCCTCTTCCAATTTCAGTCTAAGACGCCGTAATATTTCCTCCTCCAGTATCAGTCTATGGCCGGATGAGACGGACGCTGCTGAGCAAGAGCTCGGAACTGTCGCAACAATATAATATAAATGGCATCGAACGATCAACTAGGAGAAGACGACCGACCAACTGAGTGTGGTTGTGTGTGTTTTTGGCTGATGGCTGGCTGTTGTTTGTCTCATAGATGAGCCAGCCAGCCACTTGTTTCATATTTCTTTCTTTCTTCATCATATCGTTTTGGCAATAAACTGACCAAATTGAAAATAAAAATTGTATGATGCGGCCATCTTCATTCACAATATGCATACAATCTGAAAGCATACATACATACATAGACAACTACCCTCAAAAGAAGAAGAACAGTTGATGATAAATAAGGGTGGTCACATCACATAAGAAATCATGCATCATCACTCCCAGACGCATGCACCTGGATGTTTCCTCCAAACAAGAAAAGAAAATTTTAATTCATGTCTTCTTATCGCTCTCGACCTCAACAGTTCATATACATAAATAAACAAGTTCAATTTCACAGCCAACAAGACAAAACACAAACAACACACCATTTTATCTGGTGCCAACACAAAGAGATGACAACTCTGGGAGTCACACCAGAAATCGATTGACGTCCATATTTTAAGGGAGATGAAGGAAGTTAGTGCTTTGTTCCATGGATAAGAGCGGCGGTTCTCTAGTCGTCTCACTAATTCAGCGGCTCACCGCTTAGCTAGGCATGCTTTAGACATTTCTATTATTTTTCGATGTAATCTTGGGCTGCCAGATTGAGTGTGTGCAGTCCGACATGCTTTCGCCTATTGAATAAAGTGCCAAATGGCGTCAGATTTAGAAAAAGTTAGGTTCTTATTTTGGCCACGATGAGAATGCACCGAACCGTGCATTACCTTTGTTTAGCTCACATATGCCGTAATTCAGTAGCCAATACTATGTGACATTGTAGCGTTATCTTCCGTTAACGTCTTATTAGTTG